TGGTCGTGGTGGTGGTTGTGGTGGTGGTGGTGGTGGTCGTGGTGGTGAGCTGGCTCAGCAGTTAAGAGCACTGGATGTTCTGTTGAGGACCCAGTTTCAGTTCTCAGCACCCAAAATAAATGGCTCCCAACCATCTGTAACTGCAGTTCCAGGGGATCTGGCTCCCTCTTCTGGCCTTTGAAGGCACTGCATGCATGTGTTGCACTTGTGTATATGCAAGTTTAACACTCATACAAATTCCATGATGCTCCCTTGGTAGGGTCACAAGAACATGCATCTGTGTCTGCTCACTGGGCTCATCATCAGGCTTTTAAGTGTGGTCTCTGAGGCTTGATTCAAGAGTGGTGGACCTGGGATCTATTTTCAAATGTTTTGATAGTTGTTGGGTGTCTAGAGTCAAAGCCTGGGTGTGACTGCTAAGGTCCTGGAGTGCGACCACCTGTTTTATCCTCCCAGGAACGTCTTTAGAGTCCCATCTTATTCTCATCAGAACCTAGGGGAACACACCGTTATCATGGAAACCGGTGTTAGGAACAGACTCAGGAGGAACTCAAGGGCAATCTTATCAGAGTTTGAGATTAAAAACATCAGGGCAGGCAAATGGCACATCTTGGCAGCAGCTGGAAGAGGAAGGTGGGTGAGAGAAATAGAGGAATCTATGCCGCTTGAAGCACCCATGTGGTGAAAAATAAGTGGGTGAGCTTCAGAAAAAGAGAGGGACAGCTCACAGTGTAGGGAAAGCACACCCAGCCTTTGGTCAGTATCTGAAAGAACAAGAGATAGAAAGGAAGTTTTGGAAGAGTCATGATTTTCTGAGTCAGGACTCAGAAGAGGAGGTGGGTCTCATGGTACAGGTACTATAGTGCTTCCTTATGGAAGTTCTGCAAGTGGCTGCCTAGAATTTGGAAAGAAATGTTATTATTACCATTATTATTATTATTATTATTATTAATGTTACTACTACTACTATTATTATTATTGTGTGTATGTTTGAGTATATGTTTACTTTGTGTGTGGATGCACACACCTATTACATAGAGGCCAGATGGGGACATTGGTTGTTTTCTATCCCTCTCTGTCTATTCCTTTGAGGCAGGGTCTCTCCCTTAACCTGGGCCTGCCATTGTCTTAACTACACTGTAAACCAGCAAGCCCCACCATCCTCCTGTCTCCACCTCCACTTTGGAGGTGGGGCTATGGGTGTGCTTGGGACACCAGGCTTATAACTGGGACTGGGGTGCAAATCCCAGTCATCATGTAGCTGCAAGTGTTCCAGACCACTGAGCTACCTCTCCAGCTTCAGTTATACTTTAAAATGATTCCTTTTGGATTTATTTTTACTTTGTGTGTAAGAATGTTTTGCCTGCACATATGTCTGTGCACCAGGTGTGTGTCTGGTGCCTGCAGAGGTCATAAGAGGGCATTACATCCCCTGAAACTAGAGTTGAAGATAGTTGTGAGCCACCATATGGGTGCTGGGAACCAAACACAGATCCTCTGCATGAAGATTTTTAACCTCTGAGCCATCTCTCCAGTCACTCCAGTTTTAACTTTTGAGCTATGATATTGTTTTTTGTTTTTGTTTTTTTTTGTTTTTTTTTCGAGACAGGGTTTCTCTGTGTAGCTTTGCGCCTTTCCTGGAGCTCACTTGGTAGCCCAGGCTGGCCTCGAACTCACAAAGATCCGCCTGCCTCTGCCTCCCGAGTGCTGGGATTAAAGGCGTGCGCCACCACGCCCGGCGAGCTATGATATTGTTGAAGTTGACCATCAGCCTTCCTAATGCTGTGGCCCTTTAATACAGTTCCTTAGGTTGTGGTGACCCCCAATCATGAAATTATTTTTGTTGCTACTTCATAACTGTAATTCTGCTACTGTTATGAATCATAATGTAAATATTTGTTGTCTGTTGGTCTTAGGTCACCCTGTGAAAGAATCAGTCAATCCCAAGAGGGGTTGAAACCCACAGATTGAGAACCACTGCTCTACAAGAGCACACCTCAGTGAATTTTCAAAGCAAACACATTCTTATCATCAATGTGCAGATCAGCTCACATTAAGATTGGTCCCTGTCTTGTGCCCTATAGTTACTACCCTCTCACTATTCTGACTCTGGGGGTTGACTTTACCTGTGTTCAAACTTCATTAGGATAACAGCAAATGTAAGAAGTTGCTTTTATGACAACATTAAGTGTGTGATCATTTCTATCATTGAACTGATGGGCAGGTTTTTATTTTGTTGATGTATGAGGTTCCTTGGTGTGGGCTCACCACTGTTGCACGTAATATTTATTAAGAAGGCTTCCTTCTAGGAATAATCTGTTTCATTCAGTTGGTGAACATGTGTATGTATTTTTGTTGTACAAGCACTTGGAGGTGAAGTTTCTCTGTATGTTTATATTCAGCTTCAAAAATTACAGCTGATTCCCCATAAAGGCTGATTCTCTACTCACAGATTCAACTAGCTGTGGGTTGAAAATACTTAGTAGAAATGCATTTGGGGCTAAGTGTGGCTCACATCTGGAACCCCAGCACTCCAGAGACTGAGGCAGGAGAATGACAAATTTGAGACAACTTAAACTACATAGTGTGTCCCAGGTCAGCCTGGCCTATATAGTTTTAAGATCTTGTCTTAAAACATAAACGAATGTAAATCACACATGTATAGAGTTTCCTTCTTAGCACTTTTCATAAGTAGCATCAGGTCTTGACCATTTTCATAGCCTTTCATTTCTATTAGCTGCATTGCAGTCTAGAGTGAGATAAAGGTTGTGAGAGGATGAGGTGGGTTATGTGCAAACACTGCACCATTCTCTTCAAGGGCTTTCAGCACTTGAGGGTTGTGACATTCCTGGGATCAATTCCCTGAAGATGCCCAGATGGTTGCATTGTCAGGTATTTTCCAACTGTGTGTGCTGTAGTCATGACTCACATTCAGGTCCACCGCCAGGTGACTATCACTTTCCCTTCCCATGTCACCCAGTGGGTGGGTCAGGACCATCCTCTTGATGTTGTTGGAAGGCACTGAACAGGTTGAAGCTAGTTCACAAGAAACACCATTATTGATTGAGATTCCAGAGCTGTTCAGACTGAAGGGTATGGGCAAGGATCTATATCTGTATTTATAGCCATATCAATATATACCCACATTATATCCTATCCATATCAGTATCTATATCCATATCTATATCTGAAGCAGCAGGTTAAGCCCCCTCCCCTCACCATTGAAAATTTACTCCAAACACTTGAGAAATAAGAACAAATCTCTTTAATAATG